ATGTGGTTATTAAAAATCCTATTGCATGCGCAACCTTGGTGTCCTGGCCAAATTCCCTCCATCAGCCCTTATTCATCATGGCCTCCCATTCATCCCCATTCAGCGAATTGGCTCTATCACTGGCTCTCCAATCCCCCAATAGCTGCTGTGTGGTGAGCACACTGGTGCCGTTGTCCTGTGTCTGCCGTTGCATCATCCTAGTGGATGATGCACACTTGTGATGGTGTGTTGAGACCCCCCCCCCCCCCCCCCACCCCCATGATTGTGAAGGGCTTTGAGTGTATACACAATAAATGCGCTGTATAAATACACATTACATAAATACACATTACTTTCCAGGATCAAATATTATCTCGCCAATAGTTGGTGAGGGAAATATTATGGTAATGATTCACCATCTTTTACATTCATTGAATAGCCTTGGGCACCGTTTAGTCTTCTTCTCTAAAAGTTTTCAGACGACCTGTCCATTGTAGACAATGATTTATAGTACAGGAACTGATGGGGCAATTTCTATTGTGTGCAAGGAAAACTTCAGCTGAATCAGCAAGACTGAGCAGTTTGTGGTGGATTTGTGCCATGCAGGGAACCCATGAAACCAGCCTGTGCTTTCTAACCACTTCTTTCAAATAAAGATATTACTCAAAAAAAAGTTTTTTACAATTGCAAAAGAGTGACTAAGCCCACCCAACAGCAGATTGCTGCTTTTATATGTTCTTCTGTTTGATGATGCTTCCAATTATACCTGCATTTGGCCTTAAGTTTTCAGGCTTTGATATAAATTCACTTCCTTATATCTTTCTCCAGACTGTCTGACACGCACCTCGCCATCCACATTTATGTATGTTGAATATAGGAACAGTCTACTTTTTAATGGTCTGCCCACATAGATCACATCCACTTTTTTACTTTTCTGAGCTGGGAAACAGGGGAAACTTGGGCTCGTTGTGATACAGTACAATGAATATTTCTCATGGTTGTGACTGAACACATGCCAGGTTGCCATACTGTATGTGCCAATTAAAAGGCTATTTAATTACTTTTGTTTGGTAAATTTTTTAGTAATATGTGACTTTATGGACCACAAAACTTCACTGGTATGAATAGCCAACAATACATTGAATGAGCCAAAATACTTATGTTTTTATGGCAAAAATCATTAGTTTAATAAATAAAGATTATGTTTCATGTAGACATTTTGTAACTTTTCTCCTGTAATTATATGAAAACTTAATTTTTCCTTAGTAATGTGATTTGCTTAGAGCTTTATTTAGACAATTTAAAGGCAAATTTTTTAAACTTCAGATTATATGTTTTTTTTATTATTTATATCTCAGCCAAATGTTGTCTAATCTTATTAAACCATGCACCAATGTAAAAATGTATTTGTAATGTACAAATCTCAATAAAAAAGAGACTCTTGTATGACTGGTTTTGTTGTTCATGGTCACGTATTTCATTTCACAGTTTATTTTACAGTATTTAATTTTACATTTAACTTTATTGTAGTAACTGCAGTAAGTTATGTATAATTACATACAATAATACTAAACCCAACCTTAATTCTTAACCTAACCCTAAACCCAAGTTGCCTACATGCTGTTGATTACTCTGTTATTTAAGAGCACTACTCAAGGAACAAGGAAACTGTAAGCAAATAATAACTACTACAAATTATTATTATTATATGTTTAAAATGTTACAACATCAAACTAATGTTTTCACTAATATATAATCATGTAATCGAATCCCTTAAAAATCATGCAACATGTCGGCGCCAGTGGTGTAGGGGTTAGTGTGTCGTCATATGCTCTCCGGTGCTTGCAGCGACCCGGGTTCGATTCCGCCTCGCGGTCCTATGCTGATCCTTCCCCTCTGTCTGCTCCCCATGCTTTCCTGTCAGTTCTCTCCACTTTCCTATACAAATAAAGGTGGGAAAAGATGCATGCAACATAGACTAATACAAATGTGCATCGGTCTTGTCTTCTTAATTACATAATAAAAGTTTTCATTATATTTGCTGCAATAAAATTAGTATAAAAAAGAATTTTCATTAATAAATTGCAAGTGAATTTCACAAACTATTACAAAGAAACAGCAAGAAACACACTGAAGTTTTGGTGTAACTTTTCAACCGTAAATATATCAAAATGTAATTTTTTATTAGTAATGTTAATTTATAAGAGCTTCATTTAGACAACGCTAAAGATGATTTTCTAAATGTAAAATGTAGAAATTTCATTAAAAAAAATCTATCTTATGATGTCCAGACTAGAGACACATTTAATTTTGCAATGTCCTTGTTACACGTTCATGTACTTACTTTACAATAGTAATTACAGTACGATACCAAACCTATATGCCCATGTGTTGTTAATTACTTATTGTGGTCGAACTTAGGGAAGGTCTTGTCACTTAACAGTAATAATGTGCAGTATAGAATATAAAGTCATTGTGTAGTGGAAAAACAGTTAATATTGTGTATGATTCCCATGATCTTGGAGGACTGCATCCATACATCTTTGAAATAACTAAAATAAATCATTAATAAAGTCATCTGGAATGGCAAAGAAAGCGTTCTAGCTGGACTCCCTGAGTGAAGATTCTTTGCATTCATCTTAAATGCCTCCTCCTTCATCTTACCCCAGACCTGCTCAATAATGTTCATTTCTGGTGTTCTGGTGGCTGTCCTGGAACAGCTTGACCTTCTTTTGCTTTCGGGAACTTTAATGTTGAGGCTGAACTATGAGAAGGAGTGCTATCCTGCTGAAGAATCTGCCCCCTCCTGTGGTGATACCTGTCTGTTGATGTTGCCATCTACTCTGCAGATCTCTGGCATGCTCTCTTACTGAAAGTAACCCAAACCATGACTTTTCCTTCACCAAACTTGACTGATTTCTGTGGGAATGTTGGGTCCATGCAGGTTTCAATAGGTCTTCTGCAGTATTTGTAATGATTGGGATGCATTTCAACAGATGATTCATCAAAAAAAAAAAGAATCTACCTTCTGCCACTTTTCCAAATGAACAACTATTAGTCAAGTTATTATTTGTTGCTCTTAAAACTGGGATCGACAACAAGACTTTTAGTGCAATCACAAAATGTTAAAACATCAAACTAATGTTGTCACCAAGCCTCAATGAATTATATGAAGTAAAAAGATTGACATAATACTCAAATATTAATTATTTTCTGGCTAATTATTTTCTTGTGTTCATTGGTTTACACAATGACCATTGCAATGATAATATATTTGATGATACTGCAGATTTAACTGTAGAACAGATTTAGAAGATGCTACAGAGGACTGTGTAGAAATAGGTGATTTATGCAAATGGAATTTTGATTAAACTATGTGCATAATGTTGCACTACACTACATTACATGTACACAGCAAAATCCTCTGAGTAAAATTGACAGTTTAGAAAGTATTTTGTTCCTTAATAAATTGAGTTAATGTTACTCAAGTTAATGAAACAATGAAATGATTATTTAGGTGATGACTGAGGACTGATGATGAGAAACACAAAACTACAACTGACTTCAGTCACAGCCTTAGATGAAATCAGCTAAAATTTAATACATTGAATCTCTCAAAATCTCTAGATCTATAAGCAACTGCACAAACAGCAGCTTTACATATTACAAACCCGTTTGCCTTATTATAAAAAGGGTCCAAATACTGTCTGAATGGAGTAAATTTGACTAATTTCTTCCCTTTTTCACCCTAACTCTTGACCTCATAGGCTTCTAAAACACTTTTATTGCACTGCAGTATGTAGAAGTATAAATAATTACATTCATTCAATCTTTTTCCTTCGGCTTACTCCCTTATTCATCAGGGGTCACCACAGCAGACTGAACCGTCAACTATTCTGGCATATGTTGTACACAGCGTATGCCCTTCCAGCTGTAACCCAGTACTGGAAAATAACCATACACTCTCGCATTCACACACACTCATAGATTGCGACAATTTAGTTCATTCAATAGGTTAAATGCTGAGCTAGTGTTGTTCCCATACTGATAAACTTCCGGTGACCGGTTATTGTTTTTTTTTCATGGTTCCTTTTACAGCAACGATGTTGTAATGTAATTAAAATATAGTCTGTTAAACAGACTTTGGCATTCATTTAGTAGCTCAAGTGTAAGACGATACAAAACACCGTTTACTCGCACTCGCCTGTCAGAATCGGCAGGCTAGCACAGAAGCTCAATTCAATATACTGGGGTAAAATAAATGCTCATATTTTAAAGACACGGCGGGGAGAAATGTAATTTAATGCAGTGCTTCCACTATAATCTGAGACCCACTTTATATCAGATATTACTCAGCCAGTGGAGATCGCTGATTTTTAAAGAAAACAGACCTTAAACACTCCGATTTTGCATTGGCATAAAGTTCACCGGAAGTGGTTAACCCAGGTTACTGGCAAATTAAAAGTCCTATTAGCATGCTTCGACATACAGTATACCCTTTTCACCTATACTGCATGTTTTTGGGCTGTAAGGGAAACCGGAGCACCCAGAGGAAACCTACACCAATATGGTGAGAACTTGCAAACACAGAAATGCAGAAATTATACAGCCACAATAATTCTTACTGTGAGGCCACAGTGCTAACATTGTTGCCTAAATAATTAGATACACTGTAAAAATAAATGTTGCTGTTCTAAATATTAAAGTCATCTTTTAAAGTAATATTAACTTGCATCACCTGAACTGACTTAAAAACCACATTAAAATTGTTATAACTTCAAAAATTAAGTTTAAATTAGATTAACTTACTAAAATGAGTAAAAGCAACTTAAAAGCACATGTTGTCTGACTTACTAATATTTTACAGTATGTGCAACTGATCTTCGTGTAGCTCCAGCATTTGTCAGCCCACTTGTTTACCTATTTCCTCAAACACTTTCATTAGTCTTATAATGGCTTGGTAGGAAGTTGACTAATATGTTGCGGTAGTCATTTTACATTCCTAATTACATCGAGCTTACCTTGCAAAAGCAGTCGACTGTATGGGTTTCTTTGTCCATGTGAAGCACCGTCATGCTTCTTAGACGTCATGTTATGCCTTTAAACATCCCAATTTGGATGTTTGCACCAAAAGTATGTCCGAAAAGCCGTGTAATGAGTCAGCTGTGCAAAGTGTCAGTGAATGGGATGTGTGTTTTGCATAACTCCTATGCTCCCTCTTCCCCATTCCGATCAAACATCACACGGTGAGTCGGCTCAATCTGCTGGTTCGTGTATTGAGCTGTCTGCGTTTAAGTCAGTTTTATTGAACTTTCAGAGGAAAACGTAAGTATGGAGCAAATAGAATTTGAGCACTTGTTTCTGTGGGCTTTCAGATGGATTAGGAAATTTGTGTGAGAGGATGTTGAAGGATGAAACAGAAGGTAAAACGCTGCCGTAATGGAGATTCTGTCTTCTAATCTTAAGTCTTCTAATTAACAGTTTCCCTATTTTTCAGTTTTCTGTTTATTTACGGTTGTGAATTGTATTGCTCTCTGTCGACGTTTGATGTTGAAAATTGAACTCTGCAGTTTAACAAAGTGACTTTTAGTGACATTTTAGTATGTAGAAGATAACATATAGAGAAATAAGTCTGTAAAATTGCAGAAAACGTACTGGCAGCTTAATACAAGGTTTTTGCAGCATAATATACAACACCAACCCAGACAATATATCATTTTAAAAATGTTCATAAAAGTCACTTTTTTAGGTCGTCAGAAGAATTATTGGAATTTAAAAGTATATAAATGAGGAAAAATAAAAACATGAATCACAAAATGCAGAAAACTGCTAATAAACGTATATTTTTCTGTCCCTATTCATTCTTTGTTGGTTTCTTTGCAGTGTTTTCGTAATGAATCAGAGAAAAAATAGGCCGCTTTTCACATATGCTCGACAAAACTGTCCTTTTTTGATCTTGTTGTTTAGTAATGGCGTGAAAGGAAAGTGAAAAGCCATTGTGACATTTGATTTAAGGTTAATGTTTTTTTTTACTTTTACAGTATGATGACACATTTTCTGTTTTGCTGTCAAAAGGCCTTAATCAATAAAAATGAATAAATTTGCAGACATTTGAAGAATTGAAGTAAAGATGTTTTGTTTTGTTAGTCTGTGTAGATAAAAATAAAGATAATCAAAAAACTATTATCAAGTAAATAAAACAATCATTTACAACTAATTTTACACTTAAAGGAAAATTTTTAAATAGGATACATAAGTCATGATTTTTAGATTATTCAGATTATTTTGGCCGATTGTTAGGGGAAAATTAGTTATTCATACACAAAAATCTTGCTACGTTCATTTTTTTGTTGAATCAACTAAATTTTTCTAGTCATTCCAAGTTATATTAGTCAAAGTGACTAAATTATTAATTAAAACAACTTATAAAATGTAGTTGACATGATTAACCTGTTAAAATGATTTAAAGTTTTTCTCATAATTTTTTACTTAGTTTTTTTCTGAAATTATGTTCCACTTTATATTAAGTGTACATACTGTATATTATTATATCTTATTACAATGTACTTGCAATAAAAATAAAAAACTATTTACTTACTCTGTTCATGTATTTGAGAACCCTTGTGGAGCTCTTAAGTTGGGATAGGGGTAGGGTTTTGGACAGGTTTGGTGGTAAGTGTAGGTTTAAGGTTGGGTTAAGGTGTAAGGGATGGTCAACAGTGCATTTACAAGTGTAATCACAGACATTAATTACAGATGCAATTACATATCGGTATTTAATCAAGCATAAGTTTCATGTAAAAACATGTATTTACACAATAAATACATTGTAATGAATTATTTATTTTGGTGTAAGTACGTATTGGTTAAGGCCACTTATAAAGTGGAACCTGAAATCGTAAAACTACTTTTTTAAGGAACATAAAATAACAATTTGTTATGAATATAGATTTTTTCAAAAGTTTAAGAATCAAAATGAAAGCACAAGCAGAAACTATATATTAATGTTACATATTTAGTTAATTCAACTTAACGTTTAATTTAACATTATATTTTACATTTAGCAGACTTAAAAAAAAAACTAAATAAAAAAAATGAAACATGGTTAACTTCTTTTATTAAGTTAAAAAAACATAAATGTATACAGTTGAAGTCAGAATTATTAGCCCCCTTAATTTTTTTTTATTTTTTATGAATATTTTCCAAATGATGTTTAACAGAGCAAGGAAATTTTCACAGTATGTCTGATAATATTTTTTCTTCTGGAGAAAGTCTTAATTGTTTTATTTGGGCTAGAATAAAAGCAGTTTAAATTTTTTTATGAACCAATTTAGGGACAAATTATTAGCCCCTTTAAGCTATATATTTTCTCGATAATCTACAGAACAAACCATCGTTATACAATAACTTGCCTAATTACCCTAAACTGCTTAGTTAACTAACCTAGTTAATTTATCAAGTGAAAATATAATTTTATATATATATATATATATATATATATATATATATATATAGGTTGGCATAAATTTTACAGTATACAACATCTGTACTGTGCAATTTTGTGAGATAAATGTTTACCTTAATCTTGATCTTTTTAGTAAATTGCTTTAACGCTTAAAATTTTACTGCTTTAAAAATAATTAGTATTTTAAAGCATAAAAGGCTATTCTGTCCATATCTGCAGGAGAATAAATGGTTTGTTCATTTCTTGACATATTTCAGAAATTGTAAAACTACTTTTTTAGCAACACAAAATGAGAATTTATTTTGAATATTGCGTTTTGTCAAAGGATTAAGAATCAAAATGAAAGCAAAAGTAAATCAATATATTAACGTTACACTTTTAAGTTGATTCAACTTAATAGCACACATAATTTCAAACTGTATTATACATTAAGCAGACTTAAAAAATTAAATCTCATATAACTTACAAAATGATGATGAAACATGGTTAACTAATTTATAAAGGTAAAATATCATCAATATATATAAGTTGTCATGACTTTTTAAAGTATAAATCACCTGTACTGTGCAATTTTGTGAGATAAATGTTTACCTTAAGCTTGATCTTTTTAGTAAATTGCTTCAACGCTTAAACTTTTACTAGTTTAAAAATAATTAGTATTTCAAATGGTTTATTTATTTCTTGACATTTCAGAAATTGTAAAACTACTTTTTTATAGGAACACAAAATGAGAATTTATTATTAATATTACATTTTTAAAGGTTGAAGAATGAAAATGAAAGCAAAAGTAAATCAATTTATTAAGTGTAATTAATTACACTTTTAAGTTGATTCAACTTGTATTATACATTAAGCAGACAAAAAAAAGTTGAATCTCATATAACTTACAAAATTAAGATGAAACATGGTTAACTAATTTATCAAGTGCAAATATCATCAATATATATAAATTTGGTATGACTTTTTACACTATGCAGCATCTGTACTGTGCAATTTCGTGAGAGAAATCTCTACCATAAGCTTGATCTTTTTAGTAAATTGCTTTAACAATGAAACATTTACTACTTTTTGTATTTTTGATATATTACTAAAGCCGAAAATGCATTTCTATCTATATATGCAGGAGAATAAATGTTTTAAAAAAGATATTTTAGATTTAAATGTTTAAGACACGCGTTCCTTCAACTATTTTATTTTGCAAAGTTTTAAGATTATTCAGGAATTCCTCATTGATTTGTTGACATGCTCACTTTATATCCAATAAAGCAGGAGAAAAAAACATTTCTTATCTCTCTGACCTTCTGTGCTTCTTCTTTTTTTTCAATCCTATCCTTTTCTCTCTCTCTCTCTGCTTGTGTGTGTCTGTGGTTTTTTGTCACTGTTATCTTTGCTTAGGTCTGTCTGAAACCCAAGTGCTTCTGATGACACATTACTCATGCTCTGCTCTGATAATGCCACCCCCCTCCACTCTCTCTCTCTTTCTCTGTGTGCGTGCTTATGTGCGTCTATGTGTGAAGGGGAACCCAGAGTAGAGGCTTCCCAGTTTTAATAGCAGTGTGGTTTGGTGGATGTGAGAACGTATTTACCACCTTTGTCTTGCAAGTGTTGGCGTCTGTGTGATCTGCTTCAAATTCTGCCTTTTATTTTGTGGAAATTTGAACAGCTGCTACTCATGTACATACATATTCAGTTGAATGAAATGAAATGATTATATTATTCTGTATATTTTTCTAAGTGAGATGTAAAAGTGTGTGTTTATGTACACTATATTTATATGTATCAAACCAAAAATTCAGATAACAATAACTCTATTTTCACAATTATAAATAATTTGAGCCTAACTGACAGCCTGTAGTCTCCTGTGTAATGTCTCTCTCTTACTCAATAACTGAGAACTAAAATTGAAAAAAGACCTTGGCAAAATATTTCTGATATATTTTTAAGTCCAGCGTTTTGATTGATTTGAAACATTTTATAAGGAAGTGAGTGATCTGGTTACATACTATCAAGATAATCACACTTTTAGCTAGTTGTGCTCACATTGCTTCATTGACTTAAATGGATTAAGTTCACAAAACTCATTAGGATTTGTTTTGATCTTAAATGGTTTGTTGCAATCAGTTTCCTCAAATGGTTTGAGTTACCTTAACTTTTTGAGTTTATAGTGTATATAATAGGGCTGCATGATATTGGAAAAATCTGATATTGCGATATTTAATTTTTTGCGATTAAATATTGTGATATGAATACCGTTTACAAGTTGGTTTAAATAGATCTATTTGACCATTTTCTTGGGAGTTAAACAGTATTCAGTTACAGAAATTGAACAACCAGTGCCAAAAATCCTTTTCTTCCTTTCCTTTGTCTTGTTTCTTGTCCAAATATCTAAAAGTTCTTCAATCAAGAAGACATACTATTTTACTTTCAACTTCAGAAACTTTTCCTTAAAACAAGCAAAAATATCTGCCATTTGCAAAATAATCTTGTTTTTGATTTGAACTGTTGATATTTGGACTAGATGAAAAAAAAGAAAATCTACAGTAATTAAATAAAATTCTGTGGCTCCTGGTCACCCATAATCCAGACTCAACATTGCATATCTTGCGATGTGACTATTGCGAATAGACACATTGCAATATCGATGCTGAAACAATATATTGTGCTGCCCTAGTACATACATTTGAAGTCAGAATAATTAGCCCCCCTTTGATTTATATATATATATATATATATATATATATATATATATATATATATATATATATATCCCAAATTATGTTTAGCAGAGCAAGGAAATTTTCACAGTATGTCTGATAATATTTTTTCTTCTGGAGAAAGTCTTATTTGTTTTATATCGGCTAGAATAAAAGCAGTTTTTAATATTTTAAAAAACATTTTAAGGTCAAAATTATTAGCCCCTTTAAGCTATATATTTTTGATAGTCTACAGAACAAAGCACTTTTATAAAATAGTTTGGCTAGTTAGCCTAATTAACCTAGTTAAGCCTTTAAGTGTCACTTTAAGCTGTACAGAAGTGTCCTGAAAAATATCTAGTAAAATATTATTTACTGTCATAATGGCAAAGATAAAATAAACCAGTTATTA